TTGTTTTTTTTTAAATAAGAAAAATACGTGTCGAGTTTTTAAAAATGACAACACATTTTTCCCCCTTGTAATGAATTTCGAAAAAAAAAATTCAAATTTAAAAAAGTAAATTAAAGGTTGACCCTAGCAACAAGAAGCCGTACATTTCTGCACCGGCAAATAATGTGTATTTTGAAACCCCATCTTTACGTGTAATTTGAAGCCTCTTACTTGATGGAAATTAAAAACTACACAAATATTATTTAAAAAATCAATTTGTTATGAATCACTGTAAAAGTAATCACGGAGGAAATGTGATTAAAGTTGAAAATTGTTTTCTTTAAGGTCCACACATTTAGTTTATGATCCCACAGAATTAGTTTATGTCCCCACACATTAAAGTTCATGTTCCACACATTTCGTTTACAGTCCCACACATTTAGATTTAAACGGAGTAAACGCAGTAAGGATTTCTGATTTCTACCTCTGTAGAAACTACCATTTTCTCATTAAAACTGCCATTTTCTCATTCAAACTGCTCTGTTCACATTCAAACAACCATTTTCTCATTCAAACTGCTCTGTTCTTATTCAAACTATCCTTTTCTCATTCAAACTGCTCTTTTCTCATTCAAACTGCTCTGTCCTCATTCAAACTACCCTTTTCTTATTCAAACTGCTCTTTTCTCATTCAAACTGCTCTTTTCTCATTCAAACTGCTCTTTTCTCATTCAAACTGCTCTTTTCTCATTCAAACTGCTCTTTTCACATTCAAACTACCCTCTATTTATCCAAAGGTTTAGTGCCCAACTATGTCATGCCCCCCCCCCCCCCCCCAACTTCCTACTCACGACACTCACATAATGAACTTCAATTATTACCAACGTTTACCGCAAGACCAGTAATACACTCTATTCCCTCTGTGACCTCGGCCATTAAATGGATAGTGTGTTCAGCACTAAGCCCAGCCGCCTTTTTTCCCTCACATAAGTCCGCTGGGTGGAAATCCGGATTCGAGCTCGAGACTTTCAGGTTAGCAGTCTAATTCTCTACCGCTAGGCCACGCCGTCCTTAATGCTGATTTTACTAACTAAAAATTACGCCAGATATTCCATGTTGTTGAATAGACATGTCTCCAGTGAACTAATTCCTTAGCGGTCAGTAGCTTCCCCTGTGTACTAATTCCTTAACGGTCAGTAGGTTCCCTCTGTATCGGCTACTACAGTTTTACTCCTTGTTTGGTTCACCTTCTGGGCTCATGAAATATAAATAACCAGCGCGCCACAAGTGTTCCCGTTCACTTTCTCGAGTATCTGGTGTTTTACCCCATAGCAACCAATTGTTTACACATAACAACGCATTAGCATACCAAGCAAACATGTCGAGCCTTATCTTCATTATGTTTCATCAACAGTTAGGAAAACGGGAGTGATTTTCGTTTTTCGATATTAATGGGTCTAATGAGATAATCAAAACACGATTTCGTCTTTCAAATTAAAAATGTTAATTTTAAGTGTAAAATAATTCATGTTTTTCATCTCATTTGGAAAGCATTTAAACGATGTGGTGTTTTTTAACAGAATATACAACAAATTTTAGAAACATAATTTAATACTATTAAGAATACTTTCTTTTTAAAAGATTTGCAAATGTGTGTACGCATCTCAATATTTTTTTAATAAAGTATTTTATTTGTACACCATAGGCGATATTAGAAGAGTCGCATAAACTTAATTGGTTCAACGCTCAAACCGGCTAATCAGCATTTGTTTCTTTTCAAAGATAAAGTAACTACTAATTGTTGATATTGAAGCAATTAGCAAGCTTTATTAAACACGATAGGCTCACACAACCTCCTATCAGGCCTCCACCCCGACCCCAGTTTCCTAATAGCCGCAGAGGCGTAGCGAGGGGGGGGCGGGGGGACATATGTCCCCGGGCGCCGACCTTGGGAGGGGGGCGCCAAATTGAAAGTTTGGGGGGGGGGGGGGGTGCAAATGAAAAGTTCGAGGGGGGGGGGGGTGAAAATCGAAAGTTTGAGGAGGGGGGGTGTGCAAATGAAAAGTTCGAGGGGGGTGCAAATCGAAAGTTTGTCCCCGGGCGCCGGGTAGGGTCGCTACGCCTCTGAATAGCCGAGTGATAATGTACTTTAATCTCTAGCAATTAGTTTACATTGACCTTTAACTTCCCTTCCTCCAAAGTAAACTATACTGTAGACTTGACTATACTGTCTTAAAGTTAAGCTTTGAGACTTAACTTTAAGACAGTATAGTCAAGTCAGGAGTGAGATCCGAACTCGAGACCTTAGGGGTCAGTAGCCTAACGCTCTACCACCCGTCCAGGCCATCCAACCAAAGCATTTGACAAAACGTTTCCCCAGATATCTGTGATGTTTAAATGTATAACTCCAGGAAAAAAAGCTAGAAAAAATAAGTCAATAGTACAACATATCGTACGTCAACAACCTGTCAATACAATTGACTTTTGAATTGAACCATATAACTTACCCTGAGTAAACCTTTGTCGTTAAAACCCCATGGAATAAAGATATAAATAGTAACAACAACATTACACCCTATAAGTATACAGTATACACGGAACCAGTTTAAAAACTTATCGGGAAGCCTAAAAACTTCACTAGCGTGAAAACAACTTCTTGTACGGCCGCGTTAAAAAAAAAATTAAATATCCATTCGCTGATCGTTCAGGATTGAATGATTGCCTGATCACATGACCTGGTGCCGTTAGAATCGCCGTCTGATTGAGAAATCGATACTTCTCACTTGATGTGTTTACATGAACAGTTCGGGAGTCACGTGACTGTATGCAAATGTTGTGCTATCGCGCGCGCGACCTCTTGTCAAAAGGTCTGTGTTGAGCTGTAATTAAAATATATTTTGAAAGCAATGTTGAGTGGTTCTAATGCCGTATAGTGCAAAGAGACTCACACACACACAGTTTTTTTCAATGAACGGGACAAAATAATCTTCAGGACTTTTCATCTATAATGAAATCTGACCATTAACATTTTGTGTTGTTTTTTTAATAGTTGTTTTTAATCCTTAAGCTTTTAATCCATGGCATAGTTTGCAAAATTTTGGGGCTGTTTTGCGTGTGTTTGATAACCCTTATCATTGTTCATTGTGTTCCTTGTAGATCATGGAGCCTCAATCAAACGTATCCACTGTACCCTGGCTCTTGGATTTAAGTAAAGAAGTCAAACTTGCGGGTTTGTGTACTCTCGACTTTCCAAGCACGGCTTCATATAAATATTGATTAGTTACAGTTGGCTTGTGCTGACTAAGTTATGGTCAGTTAATGCGACGTGAAAAAAAAATAATAGTAGCATATATTGAACTTCTTTTTTTCTCACAAAAAATTTGCCTGGATTAGTAAAAAAAAAAGAGTTGATTTTTTTTTTTAACAATGGCAATGCAAAAATAAACCGGCAGATTGATCCGGAGCTATTTAACTAGCATCGCAACTGTAGTCAGAACCGTAATGTTATCTGAAAACCTGGCCTTAATATTATTGCAATGTCATGAGAGTTTCTTCCAGGCATTTCTTTGTCTACTTCACCCCCCTCCCCCACCACAGACAGAATAGAATCAAGTTATTAAAAAGTCTAGTGACAATTTAAGCGCAATTTCCTTAATTAATTTTTTGTGACCGAACGAAAGGATATTTCTGAAAACTTTCTTGGACAATATTGTTCTAAATTATGGCAGAAATCGATTGGTAAATGTTTCAAGTCGCTAAGTGGTCTGGTTGCCGAGATATGCGCCAAAAACTGCATTTTTTCGAGGTTTTTTGGCTTTTCCGGGAAATCCAGGAGGGATTTCCGGGAAATATTTTTGGCCCACAATCATCCTCGGAACTAGCTTAACATATTTGCTTTTGGAACTAGTCATCGATATTGCTTCGTTGAGGAGGAGATACGACTTAAAGCTGCGCACATCCATCCAGAAATAACGAGTTAATAATCGCAATTGCCCAGTATGGAAATTGCGCTAAAAAGTAGGCCTATGGTTTCTCTAGAAAAAAAATATAATTTAATTAGAAATTTAAATGCGCACCTCGACCCCCCCCCCCCCCCCCCCACCCATCCAGCCTCCACAAAATTTCAAGTCCCTTCCTTTTGTTAATTAAAGAAAAACCACCTGAACGAGTAATGACAAAAACATTGACTATTTTAGTTGAACTTAGTGAGTAAACATTCATCTCGAAACTCCATTTAGAGTTATTTCCCGTAGTTCACTACTAAATATTGACTGTCGGGTTTTCCCGAAATTAAAAATAAAGACGACAGAAAATGTTTACCCATAATTACCGGAAGACCAGGTTTAGCGGTACACAGCATGGGGGAGGGGGGGGGCGAGGTTCGTCTAAAATCTATTCCGTCTAGAGTCTAGACTAGAGCAAATATCGTAGATTGGAGTGAACTTAAAGAAATGAGAAAAAACTTTTATATCAATAATAAAACAGAGCACACAAAACTAGACAACTTAAACTTTAAAAAAAATTGATTTTTAAAAACTATTTTTAATTTTCCTAAGCTAAGTAAACTCTATAACCCCCCCCCCCCCCCACACACACACACACAAACACCCTTTTACACACGCTTTTCAGATGAAAGATATAGTCTTATGTTTTGGAATACTACATGTTGGCTATTAGAAAAGTATTAATTTAATCGAAAATGCAGTTTTAACAAATTTGTATTGATTATTTAAAGATTACAGATAAATATACAGAGTCTAATGATTTGTAAATATGAAAAAAAAAACAGTCTTGTGTGTAAATGATGCTTATAAAGATAGCGTTGTGCATTAATTATTTAAAGTTAGGCAATATAATGTTGTGTATAAAATTAAACCACATATAGCTTCATACAAATATCGTAATAGCCGTTTTACAATCTTGGTATTCGATACTCAATTAAATATGAGCTACTCGATAAGGCTAAAAATGTATCGATCAATACGTATTCGATTATTAAACAACATTGAAACGATACCTTACCCAATTCTGTGGTGATGTCAGAAACGCTGATTCCGTTGCTTGTGGTGGGGGTGGTGGTGGTTGCGCCAACCGACACCATGTAGAGTTAGTCCGTTTCTTTTAAACGTTCCACGTTTTCAAACACCATGGGCGTGACCTGTCCCGTTATCCGTTGGACACGCCCCCTCCGAATTTGAATAATGAAAATTTGAACTGGTCAGGATTTTTTATTCTTAACCCGCCCCAGTTTTCAACAGCAACAACTAGAACAGTGTAGGTCGGAGCAGGAGTCAAAGGGTTAACGAACTCCTCGCGTGCCGGCAGTTAGTTCAGCTGGAAGTCAAAGGGTTAAAACAACCCGTATGGCTAGGTGATGAACGAGCCAATGGGAATGTTTACATTTCCAAGACTGGTCCCGGGAACTCTAGTGGTAGTTTGGTAAACACATCACACCTGGAGAAGAAAGAGTTAAGTAGTTCAAACAAGGATAAGAGGAAACATTTTATCTTGTTGGTTTTGGGATTCTTTAGATAGGATCATGCATATATATATATATGGATGTATGTGCATCTTTGTATATATATATATATATATATATATATATATATATATATATATATATATATATATATATATATATATATATATATATATATATATATAGCCTAAATATATGTTTAAATAGCGTATTTATAGCCTATATATATATATATATATATATATATATATATATATATATATATATATATATATATATATATGTGTGTGTGTGTGTATATATATATATATATGTATATATATATATATATATATATATATATATATATATATATATATATATATATATATATATATATATATATATATATATGTAAATGTATGGTGTGTTTGTGTGTATGTATGTATAGTGACGTGAATAACTATTGTGGCAAGAAGTAACGAGCAGCCAATCAGATTCCCTGGTCGAAAATCTCTGACACATGTGTCACACGGCATGTGACAAGTAATTAGCTAATTGCATCGATTAACCCCATTGGTTCGTGGAGAGAAAAGGGAGCTTACCTCGTGAAAAACAACTCGGTGCAGTGACCATAGGGTTTGGGTGAGGAGGGGATGAAAGGAATGTGTGATCTAAACCAAAGGGGGATAACTGATTGTTTTTACCACAAATATTTGCACAGTTGTGTTTGAGTGTGTTAGGCATGGGATGGTGGAGGGTTCGAGACCACCGCAGGTGACTTGTCGTGGATGAACCTCAATGTTGTTATACAAGCAAGATTATATAAGGTAGTATTAGGAGGACAGAATTAGCATAAGTAGGCCTATTGTAATGTATGAGATAAGTAAGTAAAGCCTAATTTTTAAAAAAATGTCACAAATCCATGTACAAACTGAGTCCAGTTCTTCAACTTTATTTCCATCGTTCTCACACATCGGTAGGAATGTGTACTGACTATGATCATTATGAAATGTGAACACTCATCTAACTATTGTAGTCTCATTTACAATGGACTCACCCATCTATTGTACTTTTAGTAGCAATGGACTAACGCAGCTATGGTAGTCTCAGTTACAATGGACTCACCCGCCTATTGTGATCTATATTACAATGGACTCACCTACCTATTTAAGTCTCAGTTACAATGGACTCACCCGCCTATTGTGATCCATATTACAATCGACTCACCCACCTATTGTACCTCCAGTTACAATGGACTCACCCAGCTATTGTACTTTTAGTTTTAGTTACCACGGATCCACCAACCTATTGTGATCCTGGTTACAATGGACTCACCCACATATTGCTGTCCCAGATACAATGGACTAACCCAGCTATTGTAGTCTCAGTTACAATGGACTCACCAACCTATTTTAGTTTCAGTTACAATGGACTCACCCAACTATTATAGTCCCAGTTACAATCGACTCACCCACCTATTGTGATCCCAGTTACAATGGACTCATCCAATTATGGTAGTCCCAGTTACAATGGACTCAACTGCCTATTGTAGCCTTAGTTAAAATTGACTCACCCACCTATTGTAATCTCAATTACAATCGACTCACCCATCTACCGTGGTCTCAATGACAAACGCAAAAGGTCACTCTGCCATGCTACCATCACGGACGTGCTTAATCGAAGGTGAGTACTCAGCAGCATAGCGGGTACCGTGTGATGATTATAGCAAGCGTTCCTTTGTTCCTGCCTGTTTACATAACAATGTGGGTATTGATCCCACTCCCTCGTCAAAGCGGTGACGCACTGTTTTTCCCGCATTTCTTTACTTTAAATATGTCAGCGGTGACGGAGCAAAAAAAAAGATTATTGAGTTAACATCCGTCTGTAGTTTGGACATGGAGGGTTAACGTGCATGTAGCTAGGACATGAAGGGTTAACGTGCGTGTTGCTAGGACATAAAGGGTTAATGTGCATGTAGCTAGGACATGAAGGGTTAACGTGCATGTAGCTAGGACATGAAGGGTTAACGTGCATGTAGATAGGACATGAAGGGTTAACGTACATGTTGCTAGGACATAAAGGGTTAATGTGCATGTAGCTAGGACATGAAGGGTTAACGTGCATGTAGATAGGACATGAAGGGTTAACGTGCATGTAGATAGGACATGAAGGGTTAACGTGCATGTAACTTTGACATGAAGGGTTAACGTGCATGTAACTTTGACATGAAGGGTTAACGTGCATGTAACTTTGACATGAAGGGTTAACGTGCATGTAGCTAGGATGTAAAGGGTTAACTTGCATGTAGCTTTGACATGAAGGGTTAACGTGCATGTAGCTAGGATGTAAAGGGTTAACTTGCATGTAGCTTGGACATGAAGGGTTAACGTGCACGTAGCTAGGACATGAAGGGTTAACGTGCATGTAGCTAGAATGTTAAGGGTTAAAATGCATGTAGCTATAAAGAGTTCACATGCATGTAGCTATAAAGTAAAGGGTTAAGGTGCATGCCGCTAGTAAGTAAAGGGTTAACATGGATGTAGCTAAGATGTTATTGGTTAACGTGCATGTAGCTAGGATGTAAAGGGTTAACTTGCATGTAGCTTGGACATGAAGGGTTAACGTGCATGTAGCTAGGACATGAAGGGTTAACGTGCATGTAGCTAGAATGTTAAGGGTTAAAATGCATGTAGCTATAAAGAATTCACATGCATGTAGCTATAAAGTAAAGGGTTAACGTGCATGCCGCTAGTAAGTAAAGGGTTAACATGGATGTAGCTAAGATGTTATTGGTTAACGTGCATGTAGCTAGGACATGAAGGGTTAACGTGCATGTAGCTAGGATGTTAAGGATTAACGTGAATGTAGCTACGACATAAATGTTCAGTCTAAAAGTTGGTGAGATAAAGTTCGCCTATATTTAACCCCTGAACCTTACAACTTCTCCCATAAAATACACAGACACACACAAATACACAGACACACACACATACACAGACACACACGAATACACAGACACACACAAATACACAGACACACACAAATACACAGACACACACAAATACACAGACACACACAAATACACATAGACACACAAATACACAGACACACACAAAAACAGACACTTTCACTCATACAGAGGTACAAGTCTCACAGAATAAAACTTGGTAGACTAGTCATCTAACTATAGCTTGAGGCCGTTCTTATTGAGTAAAGTGCTATGTACTATAGGTTAAGGCAGATTTATTCGTCTATTTGAGCTCACATGGCTAAGCAACAAGCATAGTGAAGACTTATTTGAAATAATGCATTGTAATGCTACCCTATCTGGCCCGTCAGTTTGGGAAGATCAATCAGTTTTTGTGACGACAGCATATGAAGAGATTGTCTGGTTAGTTTCTCTTGTCATTCACCTTAACTTAACGAGACCTAGAGCTGGGTGAACTCAAGGACATCATAAGGACTATAGTTTAGGATCCGAGCGCAACACTTTAGGGTTAGCAGTCATGAGCTCTACCGACTGACCAACCCGTTCTGTGTATTATAGATAGGAATTATTTTGAGATAAACTAAATGCGTATTTCAGAAGCAGATTGTAATTAGTACAATTAGGGGGAGGAGGGTACCACAAAACTAGAATCCTAATAGGCCAATGTAATTATGTGAACTGTGTAGGTTAAATTGACATCACGTGATGTAAATGGGTTACCGGATGTAGCTGTCATATTGACTCTCCCTACAATACATAATGCGGTCGCCCATAAGCCATACAGTACATACACATGTATTGATCGTTATAAACTGTTTAACCCCATATGTGTCAATATTCCATCAGTGCTGCTAATTACGAAATTCTAAAAAAATTTAAATTCATTTTTTTTTATTCATAAAGCGAAGTATTTTACATCATTGACTTAAAGCAAACTGACTACATCAGCGTTAAAGTTCGAATGCTAAAAGATAATAAACCGGTAGTGATCTCCCCTAAACTTTCTCGAATATTCTTATATAAAACAACAGGGGATGGTAACTGGGGATATAGTTATGATCTTTAATCCATTTTAAATACTGAAACTTTTAAAAATAGAATAGAATCTCAGTAAAAAACAATTGCGCACCAAGCGAACGCCTAATAAAGGTGTGTATAATAGTGCGCAATAGTATTAGTACTTTATAAATTTACATTAGTTTTTTGAGAAATCGGAAGTAGCGTAAAGTACTACTTCCGGTCAACGGAAATTACTCAAAATTTAACAGAAGGTAGAGAATTAGATCTTTTACTTACATGTGAAATTTCATTTATCTATCTGAAATAGTACTCAAGTTATAGGCTTTTGAAAAATTCAAAGTAGAAAAAGTACCACTTCCGGTTATCCGAAATCGCTCAAAAGTTGATACGGATCTACGATTTTGATATAATACTTGTATATGAAATTTCATCAACCTAGCTGTAACGGTACTCAAGTTATCGTGTTTACACACGGACACACACACACACACACACACACACACACACGGACACACAGACATACGGACAAGATTGCAAAATTATGTTTTTCCGTATCAGTGAGATGTAAAACGTCGAGATTTGCAAAAATCTCGATTTTTTTTTTTTGCACGATTACAAGACTTTCTCTATACTTCGTATATACGAGAAAGTAAAAAGCGTCATTTAAAAAAAAAATTACTATGTAAGCGTTTCATAAAATTAATCGTAAATTACATTTTATTGTATGCTAATTTCAGAATGGTATGCAATGGTCCGCTGGAAACAGCTGAACAAGACAAGGAGGCTTTGAAAATTGTTGTAAAAAAACTTCTTAGTGGTTATATGAGCATTATCTTTTTCTAGTGATGAAGTGTAAGTGCTCCATATAGGTCTACAGAGTTTTCTCTACATGTTCAACTTATTCGTTTTTTCTTCTAATTAATTAATCTAAGGTGTGGCATTGTCCCATCTTTTTTGTTTGCGTAATAAAGTTAAACATCTGAT